ATATACCATATATATTAATTCCGACATATAATATATTTAATCAACTACCACCAAAACCAGACATATAAGCAATGAGTAGATACGTGATGAAATGTAAGCAACCAAACGGATATGCCTCACAGCGATCGCGCTGTCCAGGGTATAAAACCAACGGTAAAACGATTATGGCGCCGAAAAGTACAGCTTGCGCCAAAATCGTTACACACTCACGCACATATATATATATACACATAAATTTTCTACTCTTCTCGATCAAGATTTTTAAGGTTTTATATATCAAAACATAGCACTTTTATATATTTATTATAATTTCCGCCGTTTCCCCTCGGCCATACGATACACCGCGCACCTCCCTGGGTCCCTGCTCGGGCGCCACTTGTAAGGTAGTAAATTTAAATGCTGGGGTAGACTCAGTCTACCCAGGGTGTTCTCACAAGAAATTTATTTTCATGTAATAGTGAGACACAAGGGGGGGGAATATCTGACGTTATTGGCCAGGAAATGGGAGAGGGGGGGAAATCTAATATGGGGACCGCCACTCACGTGTACCTTTTCTTCTCCAGCGTCTTCTCACCCCTTTTCTTTTGCCTCGTCGCCGTCAAACTTTGCTCCAGTTGCCGTTCATTCCAATGAAAGTCGTCGATCTCTTTCCGTATTTCTTTCTTCTTTTATTCAAAATGTCACTTAACCTAGCCGCGTTTCACAAGATTCCACTACGCGCTTAAATTTAAAAGAACTCTATCACCTTTTCTTCGCGGTCAATCGCTCCTTCTCGCTACTCAATCCCGACTCGACTAAAAAAACTGTCTCTTTTCTTGCGCTCGCCCAAAGCGCTCGGCGTCGGCGACGCAACTCTCCGCTCACAACTCTCCACGCAGGGTTGCGCCGCCGATCGCCGATAAATCGTCAGCGCTTTGGGCGGCATTTTCAAATACCAATTCAAATGTCAAAATTATATCAAATACTAATTTTTGCTTAATTATCACTAACTTAATTCCTAACTGCTACAGCTAAATCTTACCGACTACAAAACTAACCCTAATTAAACCTACTTGGTGCGTGGCTGAACAGGTGAGGAAGTGGGGCATGAGGTATGACGGCCAGGCGGACCCGTTAGGATTCGTAGAGGTGGTAGAAGAGCGGGCCATAACATATGGCATAGAGCTGGACCGGATGCCGAGAGCGATGAGTGAGATATTCAGCGACAAGGCGGCGAAGTGGCTTTTAACCAGCGGGCTGAGAGACGCGACCTGGACCGAGTTCAAAAGAGAGTTTCTGGACTTTTTCCTGCCGCCGCAATACTTCGAGCGCCTGGAGGACCAGATCCGGGCGCGTCATCAGCAACAGGGAGAAAGCTTCAAGGATTACCTCCTCGAGCTCAGGTTGCTGATACGTCAGGCCCGATACAGCGCGGCGCAAGAGCTACACAGGGTGTACGAAAACGCCGCGCCTGAGTATCGGTTGTACGTAAGACGCCACGACTTCACAACGTTGACGCAACTAACCCAGATGGCGACGGAGTACGAAAATGTCCAGGGCCAAAAAAGGATTTGGGAGAGGAAATCCGTGGCGAGCCATTCGCGGGCGCCTTGGGCGATGCCGACGGACAGTCGGCTTGGAAATCCGTTCCGCGCGCAAACGTCGGAGCCGCGAAACGAGCAGCAAGGCGCAGGTCATACCGCGGTGACAGCAACGGCACCAGCGGAGGTAGTGCATCGCATGGTGGCCCAGGATGCCGGTTTCGATTTCGATCCGCGACGAGTTTGCTATCGATGTGCGCAGGTGGGACATTTCGCAAGAGAATGTCGCGGCGCGCAGGTACTGTTTTGCCGACGATGCGGCAGAAAGGGGAAGAGTACACAAGAGTGTTGTCTTCGGACGGAAGCGGGGTGGCGCCGATTAACACCAAGAGGGAGAGAGGCGGATACCCGTTAAGGGTAAAAAAAGGAAGGATCGTCGCGACCGTGAGGATCGGGGGCCAGATCATGACCGCTACGATTGACACCGGGGCCACCCGCAGCTTCATGACTGAGGACTGCGCGCGCCAGCAAGCGGTTCAAGGGGAGTCGCAGGAGATACGATCTCGAATAAGGTTGGCCGACGGGTCGTCGCTGGACGTAACGCGAACAATGAAGGTAGTCGTGGCCCTCGCGGAGAAGGTAGTGCAGATGACGGTGCTCATCATGCCGACTATTTTAGGGATGGATTTCCTGTGCGTGGTGGGGGCGACGCTGCGCTGTGGCGACACGAATCTGACGATGAGAATGGAAGAAACGTCAAAAGAGAGCAGTCGCGTTGAAAACGAGGGGTCACTCGCTTGACGCTCGAGCTACGCTAATGTGAGGTGTTTGAACCCCGAGGCGCCAAGCTGGACTCCACCGTCAAAGAAACGGAGAGCTCGGGCGGATGCAGAATCGCAGAGGGCACCGGACATTTGTCGACAGGAAGGGAGACGAGCAGCTCGAACGGAAGCTGGGAGAGCACCCCACGATGCGAGACGCAACAGATCCGGAAGAAGAACGCGACGCAAGGCCGGCCCTCGGAACCGTGGTGTGGCCGGAAGATCTGGATCCTAGCTTTTAGCAGTTCCTGGAGACCGAGCTAGCACTCTTCGAGAAGCTCGAAGGAGTGTCCCACATAGCGGAACACAGCATCAGGATGCGGGACGATAAACCCCTCAAACAGAGATACTACCCGAAGAACCCAGCGATGCAGAAGATAATCAACGAGCAGGTTGACGAACTGCTCAGGGTTGGAGCTATCGAGCCGTCGAGAAGCCCGCACAGCGCGCTCATAGTCCTGGTGAAGAAGAAGACTGGAGAATGGCGCATGTGCGTGGATTACCGGCAGCTCAACGCCCACTCGATTCCGGACGCTTATCCTGTTCCCAGGATTAACCACATCCTGGAAAGACTGCGGCAAGCCCGGTTCATATCTACGCTGGACCTCAAAAGCGGGTATTGGCAGATCCCGATGGCGGCGGACAGCAGGGACTACACGGCTTTCACCGTCCCGGGGAGAGGTTTGTTCCAGTGGCGGGTAATGCCCTTCGGACTGCATTCGGCTGGGGCAACGTTCCAGAGATGGAGCCCCACGCGTTCGCATACCTGGACGATATAGTGGTGATCGGAGCCTCAAAACAAGAACATACGGCCAATTTGAGGGAGGTTTTCCGGCGACTGAGAACGGCTAACCTCAAGGTTAATAGAAAAAAATGCAGCTTTTTCCGAGAAAAGTTGGCGTATCTAGGGGATCTGCACCGACCCCGCGAAAGTCGAAGCGATTCGAGACTTCCCCACACCGAAGAACCTGAAAGAGCTACGGCAATGCTTGTGAATGGCGTCTTGGTACAGGCGATTTGTGCCGAACTTCGCTTCATTGCTCCAACCAATGACCAGGCTGCTCAAGAAAGGGCAGAAGTGGGTCTGGACCGAGGAGCAAGAAGATGCGCTGCAAAAGCTGAAGGGGAGCCTGACGACAGCACCAGTCCTGGCGTGCCCCGACTTCTCGGAAAAATTTGTGCTGCAAACCGACGCCAGCGACTGCGCAGTGCTAACTCAGGAGATCGAGGGTCAGGAACGAGTCATAGCCTACGCCAGCCGAAGACTGACTAAAACAGAGGTGAATTATTCGGCCACGGAGAAAGAGTGCCTCGCGATCGTCTGGGCAATCAGGAAGATGCGTTGCTATCTAGAAGGCTACAGGTTCGACGCAATCACAGACCACCTGGCGTTGAAATGGCTGAACTCGATAGAGAGCCCCATGGGCAGGATCGCCCGATGGGCGTTAGAACTACAACAATTCCGTTATCGCCGGGGAAGCCTAAACGTGGTGGCCGACGCACTGTGTCGCCAACCCCTGGAGAATTGTCAACAAGCGGTGGAGGAGTGCCCCCCTTGTAAGTGGATAGCGAAGATGCGCGAGAGTATTGCTAACGACCCAGAGAAGTTCAGGGACTACGTAGAGGAAAATGGCCAGATATATAGAAACTTGGGCTATCGGACGGACGACGAGGATTACATCCCTTGGAAGCTGTGCGTCTCCGAAGGCCAAAGGAGCATGAATGTCACGATGCCCCCACAGCAGGACATCAAGGGGTGAGAAAGAGAGATACACCTCAGTCATACCCTTTCCCCACCTCAAACCTGTTATCCAACCCCCGTAGTATCTCGTGAAAGTTGATATACTAACCGGTGTCACTTATACTTGAGTTTTCAGATACAACATCAATGGAGAACGAGGTCATCATAATCAGCAGCGAGGACGAGAGGGAGGAAGAAGAGGCGGCTCGCGTGGAAGATGTCAGCGACGCGAACACCGAGCCATTCCCGGGTACGGGGTACCAAAGGCGAGGCGACCCGAGGGTGGGCCGGGAGTATTACAGGTCTCGTGAGGAGCGACCCCCACCCAAGTTCAAACACACGATCCATCGATCCTCAATTAACATCGCCGAGAGGCTCGATGGATGCGTCATGTTGATGAAGGTGGAGTTCACCACCATCTACGTGGAAATACCCCAGTCTCGAGGGGCGCAGAGCAGCCACAAACCCTCCCGACGCCGCCAGCGATACCAGGGCCGGAGGAATGTGCCGCCCCCCGAGCGAAGAGGAGGAAGAGGAGATGCGCAAGGTCCAGTCACCGGAGGAAGAGAGGAGACAGCGGGGAGCGGAGTCATCTGATGGCCAATCCCCGTCGCGGGGACAGGATGGCGACCGGGAGCGCAGTCCTTTCGCCGCACCCCACGACTCGGAGACCGGGGCGTGGAACGAAGGGCAACGATCCCCATCATTGTGGACGCGGCGAGGGGAGAGGAGGAAGGCGCGAAGAGCCCGGCCCAAAAGACCCCGAGAGTCGACTTGGCGAGCTTGGCGGAAAGGCTGCGGAAATCGGGAGAAGGACGGCAAACGACGGCGAGCCGAAGGCCTAGAATAGGACGCGTACGAACCACCAGAGGAACCGCGCTAGAACCAGAGGAGCATGAGGCCGAACTGCTGGCCGATATGGCCGATATCTTGGACGGCTGGGAGCCGAATTTATTCGAGATCCTTATGGGGGAGAGCCCCCCTCCATTCGACCCAGCGCCGGTCATCCCACCCGGCTGGAAGATCCGGCCACCGGGGGCCTCAGTGGACGAACAGACCATCCGAGCGGTACAATGCGAGCTAGGGTGCTCAGAAGGGCGCGTTTTCGTGTTCGTACCACGATCGCCACGATCAATGTGACGGTCACACCCTCGGGGGGCGTGACCCTCGCTCTAGTCCAAGTGACCCTCCTCGCGCATCCGCTCCCAGATTGCAGGCTGCACCTGCGTTGCCGCCATTAAAGCTACCTACGTTCAGCGGTGGATATGCTAATTGGGCTGATTTCTACTCAGCAATATGGAAAGACTTCAGCACCTCCGGTCCTGCCTCGATGGCGCAGCGTTGGATACGGTTCGCTCTTTGGAAATTTCTAATGATACTTATACAATTGCCATAAATTTATTAAAGCAGAGATATGATAACCGACGTTTAATCTTCCAGGCCCACATTGTAAAGATCTTAGGTCTCAAAAGAGTAGAAAACGGATCCATAACCAAGCTGCGTGAGCTATCTGACAGCTTCAATGTCCATATGCGTGCGCTCAGTAGTCTGGGCACAACAGAGCAGATAGCCAGTGCCATGATTGCTCAGATACTGCTACAGAAGCTTGATGAGGCCTCACAAGCTAAATGGGAAGAGAAATTGGACAACTCAGAGACGGCTCTTCAGATACCCAGATATGAAGAAGTCTCCTCATTTCTTGAGCTTCGTTGCCGTACTTTGGAATCGATGAAATTTGCTCTTACAAACTATTCGTCAAGTAAGCCGATGAATTCTTGCAGTAAGGTTGCTACCAGTAGATCAGCATTTCTCGTAACCGGCCACAGTACTCACAGTTGCAATTTTTGTAATGATCTTGAGCACACAATCTACAAATGCCCAAGATTCTCCTAGTCTTCGCCTGAATGAGGTCCGAAAGGCTGGCTTATGTTTGAATTGTCTCATGGGAGGTCATCAGTCGCGACAATGTGGCTCGCGCAGTTGTCGGGTCTGTGGAGTCAAGCATCATACGCTTCTTCATCTCGGCCACTCCAGCACATCGCAGGCAGCAATTCCGCCCCATCAACAATCTTCAACATCAAGAGTACAGACCATCCCTCAGCCCTCAGCACCAGCCACTACTCTCTTATCCAAGGATCGGCACAGCGATGTTGTGCTCCTGGCTACCGCAGTGGTTCTGGCAAGGAATCGGTTTGGCGAGCTTGTTCCTTGTCGTGCACTTTTAGATTCAGGCTCTCAACTACATCTCATTACAGCCAGATTTGCGAATCTCCTGCAACTTAAGAGAACAAAATCGGTGGCATCTGTATGCGGCGTAGGCGACTCCAATGTTGCCATGGATGGCAGCAGCATTTGCCTCACTCTTCAAGCTCATGCATCTGAATATACAACTAGCATAACGGCTATGGTAGCTACAAATATAACTGGCAGGCAGCCCAGTTCTAATGTGAATACGAGCAATTGGAGCATACCGCAAAATATAGTGCTGGCAGATCCAGCTTTCCATAGGCCGCAACGAGTAGATCTGCTTATCGGAGCTAGCCTGTTTTATGATTTGCTCTGTGTGGGACAAATCAAGTTGATGCCTGGACTTCCATTGTTACAGAAGACTCGTCTTGGTTGGGTTGTATCAGGTGGCGAGGCTAGCAACCACAACTCCGTGCTAATAGCTTCAAAGACGCCTTTGGATCCGATTACAGACTCCTGTGCTGATATCAAGTTGGACAGTCTCGTTCGTCGCTTTTGGGAAGTTGAGCGCTGCAGCGATTCCATTGTAAAGTTCAGCAAGGAAGACTCAGACTGCGAAGCGCATTTTGCGAGGCATTACAATCGATTGGCTAGTGGCCAATATACAGTACGCTTGCTTGTTAAGCTTAGTTGCGAGCTTCTTGGAGATTCTTATGAGCAAGCGCGACATCGGTTTCTCAATTTGGAGAAGAAATTGAGTCGTTTGCCGCATATAAAGTCTCAATACTCAGCATTTCTGAAAGAGTATCTTGAACTTGGTCACATGTCACGCGTTCCTCTAAATTCATTCCATCTATGCAGATATTTTCTTCCTCATCACTGCGTTCTGAAGGATGATAGCACAACTACCAAGCTTCGCGTCGTCTTTGATGGATCTGCATCTACAACAACTGGGCATTCGTTGAATGACATTCTAATGTCAGGTCCCGTCATTCAGCCAAAATTAGTCGACATATTATTGCGCTTCCGATCTTATCCAGTTGCACTCACCGGCGATATTTGCAAAATGTATCGTTGCGTGAAAGTACCTGAGCCGGACAGCTATCTACAATGCATTTTATGGAGGAATTCGCCAGATGATGAGTTGGAAGTTTTCAGGCATGATACGGTAACATAACCAGCGTCATTTTTGTCTGTGCGCGCCATGCATCAGCTTGCCGTAGATGAAAGGAACGCATTCCCAGTCGGGTCCGACGTACTGCTTCGCGATTTCTATGTTGATGATTTGATTAGTGGAGGAAATTCAGTCGAAGAAGCAAGACTTGTTATGCAAGAGACAGCTGGAATCTTGGCATGTGGGAAGTTTAAATTGAGGAAGTGGTGTTCAAGCCATCCTATGGTACTGGACGGCGTAACAGACTGCGACAAGGAATCGCTCATTAGGTTCAATGATGGCAGCGACATTGCAAAGACACTTGGCCTTGCATGGGATCCGGCATCTGATCAACTTCTTTTCTCATATCTAGCCCTGAATTCAGCCTCTAAGCCCTCCAGGCGCTCTGTTCTCTCGTCTATTGCTAGGTTTTATGATCCCCTCGGCCTGGTCGGCCCAGTAATAACGAAAGCTAAAATCTTCTTGCAACAACTCTGGAGGCATAAACTTGATTGAGATGAGAGTCTCCCGTCTGCATGTCACACTGCATGGCTAGACATTTGCAGCAACTTTGGCAATGGTCTTAGTAGTGCATTTCCCAGGCTATCATTAATACCAGGATCGAAGGTTGAGGTCCATGGATTCTGCGATGCCAGCATCGAGGCATACGGAGCTTGCATTTATATTGTATCCAGAGGTCAGCATACCATCAGCAGGTTGCTTTGCTCTAAGTCTCGAGTTGCGCCTCTAAAAACGCTCACGGTTCCCAAGCTGGAACTATGCGGGGCAGAGTTGCTTGCGCGTCTAATGAATGAAGTGGCTCGCTTAGGCATTTTCGCAGGCGAGTTTCATTGTTGGTCTGACTCTACTGTTGCGCTTTCTTGGATCAATGACGAGCCCGGACGATTTAACGTTTTTGTTTCAAATCGCATCGCCACGATACAAGATCTCACATCAGCAATGGAATGGCACTATATACCTACAACACTGAATCCCGCGGATATATTATCTCGGGGTGCATTGCCCTCGGATTTAAATGCATCATTACATTGGTTCAACGGTCCAGGTTTCCTCTGTAAGCCCAGATCTCAGTGGCCAGTCTCAGCACTTCCAGAAAAAACTTCAATTGAGCGTCGAAGAACTGTGCTTCTTGTAAAAGGACGCAGTCCATGATGTCTCTATGGACTGCAAGTTTGTGAATTCTTTCGGCCGCTTGCAGCGTACGTTTGCATACGTATCAAAGTTTATTAAAAAAAGTCATGGTCCAGGAATAACCCTAGCAGACATCCGGAACGGCACTCATATACTGTTAAGAATGATTCAACGAACACATCTCTCAGACGACATAAATGCTCTTCGAAATAAAGGAATGGTTCCGTCATCCAGCAGTCTAGCCTCGCTGTCACCGTTCCTTGATGAGATTGGGCTGCTACGTGTCGATGGTCGTCTCAAAAACTCAACTTTAAATTTCGATAGTCGCCATCCAATTATTTTGCCCAAAGTTCATCCAGTAACTAGAGCCATCATAATGCATTTCCATCAGCGAAACTTGCACGCTGGTCCCCGAGCAGTGCTAGCGTTGGTTCGTTCCCAATATTGGCCAATTGGAGGTAGAAAAACTGTAGCCAGTGTAATTCAGAGATGCGTAATTTGCTTTCGTGCAAGGCCTCGACTCGTTGAACACATAATGGCAGATCTACCCAAGGATCGAGTCGACGGCTATCGGGTCTTTGGAGTGACTGGAGTCGACTTTTGCGGACCCTTCTTTTTTACAAGCCTGAGTCACGAAACAAGGCGCCTGTGAAATGCTACGTTTGTGTGTTTATTTGTTTTGCTACGAAGGCTATTTGGTTGGAGTTAGTCAAGGATTTAACTACCGCGGCATTTTTGCATGCACTTCAACGTTTCATATGCACCAGAGGAAAGCCAAGTCAAATCTGGTCGGATAACGCCACAAACTTTCTTGGTGCCCGCAATCAGCTTCAGGAGTTGAAGCGTCTATTTCTGTCAGACACCCACCAGAAGGCTGTGAAGGATTTCTGTTTGGCAGACTCAATCGAATGGCATTTCATCCCTCCACGATCACCTCACTTTGGTGGCTTGTGGGAGGCTGCAGTGAAGACAGCGAAGCATCATTTTTACCGATGTGTTGGGTCCTCCGTCCTAACTTACGATGAGCTTCGCACACTGGTTTGCAACATCGCTGCTGTCGTTAATTCACGCCCTTTAGTTTCGATTTCAGAGCACCCATCAGACATAGACGTGTTGACTCCTGCGCATTTCCTCAACGGTGGCCCTCCTTCGTCTTTCAGTGAGCCAAACCTAACCGGGCTCAATTTTAATCGTTTGGATGCTTGGCAGCGCGTAAGCTATCTCCAGCAGGTGTTCTGGACTCGTTGGCGGGACGAATATCTCAACTTGTTACAACAGCGAGCGAAATGGAGAACCTCCAAACCTGGCTTGGCTGTTGGCAACATAGTTCTTGTGAAGGATGAGAATCTACCTTCACTTAAGTGGCCACTAGCCAGAATAATCGAACTTATCCCTGGAAGTGATGGCGTTGCACGGGTAGCCCTACTAAAAACTGAAGCTGGCGAGATAAGAAGAGCTACAAATAAGCTGTGCTTGCTGCCCCTTAAGGATTCTGTTGAAGACTAAGTCTTCAACGGGGGGAGGATGTTGGGCTCAGCAATCATCGCTTCATTGTAATTAAGAGCGGCAATTCATAGAATATGTTATCATGTAAGAGAATTTGTAACGGAGATCACGCTCTCCCTTTTGCGTTGTCTCATTCACCCACGCACCGGCTCAGCTTAATCCGCCGGCTCGCGTACATTGTAGTTAGTATGCAATTAACTCTTGTTTAAAGCAGATGCAGTGTTAGATTGACTATTACAAACATAGTAGCGGACAGCACGACAGCCTAGTCGCTTGCTCGCGTCTATCACATAAACTCTGTAAACTCTAATAATCGCTAATAAACTAATCACTAAGTAAATTCAATCGTTTAATAATTTAAAGCTATTCGAAAAATCTCGATAGCTCAACACTGGCTTTGGTGTATGTATTTGAAAATGTCTTAACGCCGTGTCTCATATGTGGGCAATAACTATTCAGTTAATTCCTCTATTGCACAAAGTATATATATTCTTGATCAGGGCGACGAGTTGAGTCGATTTGGCCCTGTCCGTCTGTCTGTCCGTCCGTATGTATGAACGCGTCATACATACACAAATTTGAAGTCTCTAGCTCTTATATCTTCTGAAATCGACGCGTTCATACATACGGACAGACGGACGGACGGACAGACGGACAGACAGATAGACAGACGGACAGGGCCAAATCAACTCAGCTCGTCGCCCTGATCAAGAATATATATACTTTGTGGGGTCTGCCACGCCTCCTTCTGCCTCCAAAAGGTGGGAGATGTCCTATAATTATGTTCGGCAAGGTACCTTCTACGTCTCGACAGTCACACAAATCTATTAGCCAGACGGCTAACTGCCAAGCCGAGGAAGAGACGCCTCAAAAAGTGCCACCCAACAGATCTAAACAAATCGAAATTGTATAAAATACATATAAGTATACATTTAAAATTTGGAGACTCTAGCTTTAAATTTATTACTGGTTTTCGATAATGTTTTTAATCGATAACAAAATAACGGGGAAATGTATCGATATTTAAAGCAAAACTCGATATGCGCGTGCTATACACGGACCGTATAAAAACAAGTAATAAAGCTCTAGTCGAGACTGCTCGACTACGAGATCCCCTGAACCCTTGGAGCAATAGATATTTCAATAAATTTTCGCGTCTTTCAGCTTACACAAGAAACACGCACACACACACACACGCACGAACGCACACACAGGCATACATACACACATATACGCATACAGTCACAAACGCATACACACACACACATACACACACAAGCACCCACGCATAAACACGCATGGTCTGCAGTGTGCGCTTACTATGAGAACTTAATTGTTTACATACGATCTTCATGAAACTTTCATATTATGATGACAACGTGGATATGCATGTATTTGCCAAAGTACAAGTCTCTAGTATTTGAAATACACTTTTTACAAACATGGTTGTGAGGGGGTGGACATAGGGGTGGGGGGTAAAATTTAACCAAACCCGAAATTGCATACATAAACATTTGGAGACTTTAGCAATAAAGGTCTTGGGTGATCAGCCCGAGTATATATACAAAATTTTAGATCTCTGGCATCAATAGTGTCCAAAATATAGCAGAATTCGAAAAATCACTATATCTTCAGCTCCGATTAGCCACGCCCCTAATGAGCGTAGACTTATAATTTTGTTTTTAGACTTTATAGAATCATAACATTAGCTGACATGCAAAATTTCAGCATTCTAGGTTTACAAGTTTAAGAGATACAGTTTTATCCGATTCGCCACGCCCCCAATGGGCGGAGATATATCCGCCATAGCTCGTGATCTTGGGTGGTCGACGCGGACCTACATACCAAATTTCAGCTTTCTAGCTCTTTAACTAACATGATTTCTGGTATATCGGAAAATGCATTTTCCGATTTGCCACGCCCCTAGTGGGCGGATCGGAAAAATTTTAACACTTTATAAATCGGAGATATACACGAGTATGTGTTCCAAATTTCAAGTCTCTAGCTTCAATAGCGCCGAAATAGATTGCGTTCATACGGACAGACCGACGGACGGACAGACGGACAGACGGACGGACAGCAAGACGGACATTGCACAAAACCAATATACTGATTCACTTTCGTGAATGAGTATAACAAGTAAGAAAACTCTAGTCGAGAGTGCTCGACTGGATACTACCCTGAACCCAACTAATAAAAATGCCCATTTAGTATGGCTAAAAGTACAAAGCTCATTTAATAAAATATCAAATATTTTGAACCATTTTAAAAAATTAACATAAGTTGCACCGGTCGGGATTCGAACCGCGACTTCTCGATCGAGCGTCACGCAGCTACTCACTACGCCACCTCGCTTTCGGGAGCCG